TGTGACAGTTTTCTGCCGAAGTGATCTTTTCACGTCAATCCAGCGCCGATTACCCTCCTCTGCACAAGAACACGAGGCCACTTGAACTGTAGACGGTAAATTAATAACCGCCGACGAGCGGTTTCATCCAAAAATTGGATTCACTTTTCTGGATGCGGAAACGGCAAAGGAGTGCTGAGGGGAACGGCAATTTCCAAGCTGGGGTGAGAAGGTTGCCTTAATGTCGACGGAATTAAACTCCACGCGCTTCCAGCCAGACTTGATGGCACTTCACTTGGCGTTTCAACTAGATGGATTTTATTTTCAAGTTGTTTTGATTACTAGTAATTGTGGCTACTAGTCGTCCTCTGGTAGATTTAGAGGAAGTCGAGTCAAGTTCGTACAAAGAACAAAAAATCCTTGAGTGTCGGTACTCCGATGATTTCAACACAGTGCAAACTGCTCGCCAGTTCTTGCTGCGTTTATATTTGGTTAAGATCACATTTCTAAACTTAATATTTATATTTGATCATAGTGAATAACGGAAGTTATTATTCTATATATTTCCTAGTGAGCTGAAAATTAAGTTTGAATGAACTCTGACATATGGAATATGTTCTTATTCTTGTGACCGTTGCTGCTGTTGTATTTATGCAATATGGGTGTACATGATGCAGGTATATGCAAGCACCCGGATGCAGCATTGGTGAGTAATATTGGTTCACTGGTGCTTTTGACAGTATATCAGTTATAGTGATATCACAGCGTATAAGTGTGGGAGGACACCCCATTGTTATGTAGGCCTTCTTTGGTTGCATCTTTGTTTGATGAAACACACGAGCTTGTGTCCTGACAGACCAAGGACCATGACGGGAATCAAACCCAGCAGCTCATGCACGACGGAAGCTGCGCCAGGTACCACTGCGCCACCCGTGCCCTTATTTATCTTTTAGCGCGTGTGTGTAAGTGTGTTTTAGGGAGGGAGTGAGTGAGTGAGTATGGTTTTACGCCGCTTTTAGCAATATTCCAGCAATATCACGGCGGAGGACACCAGAAATGAGCTTCACACATTGTACCCATGTCGGGAATCGAACCCCGGCGAACGCTTTTTTGTACAGCTATAGCACTGCGTTCTGGACATCAAGTCTGTACGTGACACAAAGTTTGAGGCGAGGTGAGGTGAAATGGGGTTTAACGTCGCGTCCAAGATTACCTCACTTATATAGCGACGTGCATGCACGTGTGTTTGTGAGTTTGACTGCTTGTACTAGTCGGGACTAATGCCGATATATAGTGCCAGCCCACTGAGATACCATGACACAGTATACTGACTCCGTGCCGACCAGGCCTTGTTTTAGCCCCTTATTCGAGCGTCAGACAGGGTAACAACAAGTACCATCTTTTAACGTATTTTGGTATGACGCGGCCGGGATCAAACCCGGGACGCTCTACCACTAGACCACGGAGGCGGTCGACACAAATTTGAGCACACGTCTGTGCAGCAGGATGGGATGCTTCAGACGACTGACCCACACAACGGCAGAGCATTTATTCTCCAGAGTTTCGTGAGAGACGGAGTACGTATTTGATCACTGTCTCAAGACATACGCTGAAAGTATGCTCGAACCATTACTTTCAAGAGTGAGTGAGGTGGGCTTAACGCCGCTTTGAACAGTATTCTAATTATATCGTTTCAGCTTAATGTGGGAGGAAAACCCGAAGTAATGCAGGTCAAGATCTCAGACGTTTATCACTTTCACCCCCTCCTCCGGACAAGCAGCGTGTCTAGCTAAGACTTTTTGTTGTGAAACATGAGGCAATATTATTTTTACAGTATTTCCGTGAACAATTTATCCCCCTCCACGTCACACACAGACGCACGCATTTGTCGTTCGTTGCAGCATGTCCAGATAGGCAACACACATTATTAAAATATATAATGTTTATTCTGTACAAAGCATGATAATATGACATGTTAGTCTACAAAGGCTACCTATACGTTGCAACTCATTTTGGTGAAACACACATGTCGTGTAGCTGCTGCGTGGATCTAGCATACATAAATACATGTACGTGTGTTGTCTAATCAATTAGTGCATTATGCAGAACTTATCCACGCCTCAATACCTGCATCTTCCCTAGGCAAGGGAATTAACTGACTTTAGTCCAGTTTCCACCCTTGCCAAAATAGGCTGGAATTACTGGGCTCGATCGTTGCGCCACCAATTGCGTCGCGTTGGCTATTACCAATTATGTCCCTTCTAAGCCTCTCCTATGGACCAATCAGATTCCACCTCTCGTATCACTTGCGTTTGCTTCACACAAAATGGTGGCGCCCAGTCAGGACGATCTGATCGATAATCAAGATCTATATTGTGATAAAACGGGTCTTACATCGCGAAATTCATCAAATCATGTGAGCACCTTGATTAAAAACAATAAAGGATTTGGAAAATATCTGCTGACAACGAATTGGCGATGCACATGTTTTGCAAACCCTGCAATCGATCGAAATCTGCACGACAGTTTACGAACCGGATTTTGATTTCGGTGCGCGATTTTGATTGGACTATGCATAGACTCGTTAGTCCAGACAAAACGTAACTCCATAATACCAGCCTAGTTCGGCAAGGGTGGAAACTGGACTTTTTTTAGTCAGTTAACTCCCTTGCCTCGAGAAGATGCAATACCTGGTCAATCTCTCATAGTTCCTCCCATGAATTAATTTTGATTTTTCGATTAAAGAAATATGCAGACAAAGGAGCATTCTTCAAGGTTTCTAATTACATATTACAAATGTCTAATTACATATTACAAATGTGGAATAACATTTTTCGAAGTGTCTCTCTTCCTTACTGATGAGGATGGTGCTTCATTTCAGTAATGTTTACACCCTTCAAAATAACCTTTTGACACGTCTTCCTTTTTTTACAGTGTCTAAAGAAAAGCGTGTTTCGTGCCTTTGTTTTGTACCGTAAAACCTGTAAAATTCAGCACCTTAACCCATGATAAATTTGCAATTTAGCCAATGATTACGTTTTATATGAAACTATGCATATTAAGCAATCATAACATTTACATACAATATTCATAAAAAGAGTCGGTGGTCAAACATAGTAAATCTTAGGCCACAACATATTATTTACTGTTTGATTAGAAATTATAGATCAAACGAAATGTTTACTAATTCCTTGCGAAAATAACATTAAAACTGAAACGAGTAGGCGCAAATACGACGACTGAATAAACAGCTTAGGGTGTTCGTTTCTGACACGTCAGTCCGAGATGTGTGTGTATCTGACGTCATTCTGATGTGTATTTGTTTCTGACACCTCAGTCCGAGATGTGTATGTTTCTGACGTCATTCTGATGTGTATTCGTTTCTGACACGTGAGTCCGAGATGTGTGTGTTTCTGACGTAATTCTGATGTGTATTTGTTTCTGACACGTGAGTCCGAGATGTGTGTGTCTGACGTCATTCTGATGTGTATTCGTTTCTGACACGTGAGTCCGAGATGTGTGTGTTTCCGACGTCATTCTGATGTGTATTTGTTTCTGACACGTCAGTCCGAGATGTGTGTGTTTCTGACGTCATTCTGATGTGTATTTGTTTCTGACACGTGAGTCCGAGATGTGTGTGTTTCCGACGTCATTCTGATGTGTATTTGTTTCTGACACGTCAGTCCGCGATGTGTGTGTCTGACGTCATTCTGATGTGTGTATGTTTCTGACACGTCAGTCCGCGATGTGTATGTTTCTGACGTCATTCTGATGTGTATTTGTTTCTGACACGTCAGTCCGAGATGTGTATGTTTCTGACGTCAATCTGATGTGTGTATGTTTCTGACACGTCAGTCCGCGATGTGTATGTTTCTGACGTCATTCTGATGTGTATTTGTTTCTGACACGTCAGTCCGAGATGTGTATGTTTCTGACGTCAATCTGATGTGTGTATGTTTCTGACACGTGAGTCCGAGATGTGTGTGTTTCTGACGTCATTCTGATGTGTATTTGTTTCTGACACGTCAGTCCGAGATGTGTGTGTTTCTGACGTCATTCTGATGTGTGTATGTTTCTGACACGTGAGTCCGAGATGTGTGTGTTTCTGACGTCATTCTGATGTGTATTTGTTTCTGACACGTCAGTCCGAGATGTGTGTGTTTCTGACGTCATTCTGATGTGTGTATGTTTCTGACACGTGAGTCCGAGATGTGTGTGTTTCTGACGTCATTCTGATGTGTATTTGTTTCTGACACGTCAGTCCGAGATGTGTGTGTTTCTGACGTCATTCTGATGTGTGTATGTTTCTGACACGTGAGTCCGAGATGTGTGTGTTTCTGACGTCATTCTGATGTGTATTTGTTTCTGACACGTCAGTCCGAGATGTGTGTGTTTCTGACGTCATTCTGATGTGTGTATGTTTCTGACACGTGAGTCCGAGATGTGTGTGTTTCTGACGTCATTCTGATGTGTATTTGTTTCTGACACCTCAGTCCGAGATGTGTGTGTTTCTGACGTCATTCTGATGTGTGTATGTTTCTGACACGTGAGTCCGAGATGTGTGTGTTTCCGACGTCATTCTGATGTGTATTTGTTTCTGACACGTCAGTCCGAGATGTGTGTGTTTCTGACGTCATTCTGATGTGTGTATGTTTCTGACACGTGAGTCCGAGATGTGTGTGTTTCTGACGTCATTCTGATGTGTGTATGTTTCTGACACGTCAGTCCGAGATGTGTATGTTTCTGACGTCATTCTGATGTGTATTTGTTTCTGACACGTCAGTCCGAGATGTGTATGTTTCTTACGTCAATCTGATGTGTGTATGTTTCTGACACGTGAGTCCGAGATGTGTGTGTTTCTGACGTCATTCTGATGTGTATTTGTTTCTGACACGTGAGTCCGAGATGTGTGTGTTTCTGACGTCATTCTGATGTGTGTATGTTTCTGACACGTGAGTCCGAGATGTGTGTGTTTCTGACGTCATTCTGATGTGTGTATGTTTCTGACACGTCAGTCCGAGATGTGTGTGTTTCTGACGTCATTCTGATGTGTGTATGTTTCTGACACGTGAGTCCGAGATGTGTGTGTTTCTGACGTCATTCTGATGTGTGTATGTTTCTGACACGTGAGTCCGAGATGTGTGTGTTTCCGACGTCATTCTGATGTGTGTATGTTTCTGACACGTGAGTCCGAGATGTGTGTGTCTGACGTCATTATGATGTGTATTTGTTTCTGACACGTCAGTCCGAGATGTGTGTGTTTCTGACGTCATTCTGATGTGTGTATGTTTCTGACACGTCAGTCCGAGATGTGTGTGTTTCTGACGTCATTCTGATGTGTGTATGTTTCTGACACGTGAGTCCGAGATGTGTGTGTTTCTGACGTCATTCTGATGTGTATTTGTTTCTGACACGTCAGTCCGCGATGTGTATGTTTCTGACGTCATTCTGATGTGTATTTGTTTCTGACACGTCAGTCCGCGATGTGTATGTTTCTGACGTCATTCTGATGTGTATTTGTTTCTGACACGTCAGTCCGAGATGTGTATGTTTCTGACGTCATTCTGATGTGTTTTTGTTTCTGACACGTCAGTCCGAGATGTGTGTGTTTCTGACGTCATTCTGATGTGTGTATGTTTCTGACACGTGAGTCCGAGATGTGTATTGTTCCGACGTCAGTCTAGGGTGTATTTGTTTCGGAGACGTCAGACAAAAAACTGTTTGTTTCGGACACGTCCGATGTGTATGTTTTTGACGTCATTGGCAGATGTCGATCGCCCTTCTGACAAGTGTTAAACGCACAACAGACAAAACCCGAAAAGTTTTTTAGGAAACACCAGCACCCAAAACCACCCTTAACATAAAACATGAGACGGAGATGCAAGTCCATCTACAGTGAGACAGGGTACCTCGTTTACATGAGTGAGTGACTGAATATTGCTTAACGCCGCATCAGTAACATTGAATCTATTTGCGGCGATTGTTAACTCGCCACCTTGATATATCGTATAAGACTATGTCTCTTTGTGGAATCATTGTCTGATATCCTCTTGTGTCGAAATACGGATAAATCGATATAAAGCTGAAAGCTTGGGTGTCGGACAAGACTGTGGGTATACTAAAAACGGTAATCGCTCATTCCAAGAGCTGCTTATCCTCAAACGACGCTTGCATTGTCGTGCTAATTTATAGGGCATGGGTCTTTTCTACAGGTTAGCCATATCTGGTAAACATTATAACGGGTGTCCTGTTCAGAAAGGGAATTCTATTGCGACGTAATCAGGTCACGTGTTACTTTAGGTCTTCAAACCTGTGGGTATTGCTTGATGGCTTCCTTTAAGGCTGTTCCACCACACATCAACCATACAGTATTTTAGTTTATGTTACACTATGTCATACTGATGACTCCGACGTTATCGTCCCCGACCCAATAAGGGCAGACAACCCTTCCTCGTCGCTGATAGTGGCTATTTTATGTCCTGCGTGATCGATCAGAAGCTTACAAGACTCTTTCGACTTCAGCGATATTGCCATGTCCAGTGCGGTCAGTCCTTTGATGTTGGAGATGTTAACATTCAATTTATGGCGTACTTTTCTGTGCTTTAGAAGTATGTGAACCGCAGTTACAGAATCAGCCGCCACAGCAAACATCAACGCTGTGTTGCCTTCGCAATCTACTAGGTTCGGATCACATGATGGGTGCCTTATCAGGTGACGCACTGCGTCATCATTGTGACGGTCTGCGCATGCGTACATGAGAGCAGAGCGTCCGTAAACATCCTGTACGTTGATCTTACTTTCGGCGTGTATGAGCATGCGCACGAGTTGACTGCAGAGATGTCCGGTTGTAGAATTTGTCGCGTGTATCAACAGTGTCTGCAGTTCGTGATTTCTCATGTTGATGTTTTCAACTTCCGGTAAGAAGGAGGCAACTCGATGGATCTTCCCGAAGGATATCGCTAGGAAAATATTGTGATCCTGTTCAGTGAGATCGCACATGATGGCGTCGCCCTTCACAGATTTCCGGTCCTTCTGCCTCGCCCCTCTCGACCCTGGAAGTAAAACGTATACCAATGATGATGTGTGAGGTTTTAAGTCAGAATGTCGGTGAAAGAACAGAACACAAGAAACCTTCACACAGGTTGTGGGTTCGAATCCCGTTCGCCTCCGTTCTGTTTCTAGGTTTGTCAGCACCACACCCGTGCTCTTGGGTTTTATCAAAGCGGTAAACGTCTAAGACCTGCATCGCTTTCCTGTCACATTAAACTAACACGCCGTGATATTACTGGAATACTGTTCAAAGTGACTTTTAAACCCAACTCACTCACTCATTCACTCACTTAGACTATAAGTGGTATAAGAAGATCCTAGATGTCATAACTAAAAATATATTCATTCATATCGAGATGCGCTTTTACAATATGTTTGTTTGTTTGTTTGTTTGTTTGTTTGTTTGTTGTTTAACGCCGCACTCATATTCCAGCTATATGACTGCGGTCTGTAAATAATCGAGTCTGGAACAGACAATCCAGTGATTGGCAGCATGACCATCGATCCACGCAGTTGGGATCGATGACATGCATCAACCAAGTCAGCGAGCCTGACCACCCGGTCCCGTTAGTAGTCTTTCACGACAAGCATAGTCGACTTTTATAGCAAGCATGGGTTGCTGAAGACCTATTCTACCCCGGATCTTCACGGGGACAAGCATGGGTTGCTGAAGACCTATTCTACCCCGGATCTTCATGGGGACAAACATGGGTCGCTGAAGATCTTCACGGGTCCTGTACAATATGTACACATTGAAAAAGGAAGCAGATTTATGTTGTTTGTGTACAAGAGCGCATTAGGTATTATTTAAATATACTCACAATTGGAGCTCGCATATTTGAGACTTTTCTTTAAAATTCACTCTCTATTTTTGCTGAATAGGTTACAAATTGTAAGCATTCTTGGCTTTTTGCAATGACAGGGCGTGAGAGTTTTGCGTCTTTCTGTTTTAAATACTGGGCACATTAAAAGATATCCAATGTCGTGTTTTCACAAAGGTTAAAATATTATATATTTTTCAGCCTTCCCTACAGCCGCGAAGTCATTCCATCCCACATCTGTACACGTTAAACAGATACACGTCATTCAACAGACGAAACAATTATTACCAGATTAATATGAATAAGAAAATTGGTATGGTTATCTGATAAGGCACTGAAAAGGTGTCACACGTACTCTACACTGTTATAACAGCAACAATGTTCCTTACTATCCACAGTTTCAAAAGAAACCCAGATGGCAATCTTCTCCGTCGCGCCCACTGCACAGACATACAAACCCAGACTTGTATGAGAAAGTCCGTCTTTGTATGTTTACGTGTTCCAGAGGAACCATGATGTATATGCACTCAAATGCGTCTTTGTACAGGGACTAAATGACAAACATCAATAACACCTATTCACACACCTATTCTATTGGGTATTCACATATGACACATGGTAAGGTATTGTGATGTGTTCAGCATGGCATGTGGAAGGGTATTCTGGGGTGTTCAGCATGGCACGTGACAAGGTGTTTGGGGTGTTCAGCATGACACGTGGACGGGTGTTCGGGGTGTTCAGCATGGCATGTGGAATGGTATTCTGGGGTGTTCAGCTTGGCACGTGGAAGGGTATTCTGGGGTGTTCAGCATGGCACGTGGCGAGGTGTTTGGGGTGTTCAGCATGGCACGTGGAAGGGTATTCTGGGGTGTTCAGCATGGCACGTGGCGAGGTGTTTGAGGTGTTCAGCATGGCATGTGGAATGGTATTCTGGGGTGTTCAGCATGGCACGTGGAAGGGTATTCTGGGTCGTTCAGCATGGCACGTGGAATGGTATTCTGGGGTGTTCAGCATGGCACGTGGCAATGTGTTTGAGGTGTTCAGCATGGCACGTGGAAGGGTAATCTGGGGTGTTCAGCATGGCACGTGGCAAGGTGTTTGAGGTGTTCGGCATTGCACGTGGAAGGGTATTCTGGGGTGTTCAGCATGGCACGTGGAAGGGTATTCTGGGGTGTTAAGCATGGCACGTGGAAGGGTATTCTGGGGTGTTCAGCATGGCACGTGGAAGGGTATTCTGGGGTGTTCAGCATGGCACGTGGCAAGGTGTTTGAGGTGTTCAGCATGGCACGTGGAAGCGTATTCTGGGGTGTTCAGCATGGCACGTGGCAATGTGTTTGTGGTGTTCGGCATTGCACGTGGAAGGGTATTCTGGGGTGTTCAGCATGGCACGTGGAAGGGTATTCTGGGGTGTTCAGCATGGCATGTGGAAGGGTATTCTGGGGTGTTCAGCATGGCACGTGGAATGGTATTCTGGGGTGTTCAGCATGGCATGTGGAATGGTATTCTGGGGTGTTCAGCATGGCACGTGGAAGGGTATTCTGGGGTGTTCAGCATGGCACGTGGCAAGGTGTCTGAGGTGTTCAGCATGGCATGTGGAAGGGTATTCTGGGGTGTTCAGCATGGCATGTGGAAGGGTATTCTGTGGTGTTCAGCATGGCACGTGGCAAGGTGTTCAGCATGGCATGTGGAAGGGTATTCTGGGGTGTTCAGCATGGCACGTGGAAGGGTATTCTGGGGTATTCAGCATGACACGTGGAATGATATTCTGGGGTGTTCAGCATGGCACGTGTTCTGGAAAGTATTTGTGGTATTACATTCTACACACAAAAGGGTATGGCACGTGGTAGGGTGTTTGGGGTGTTCAGCATGGCACATTGTAGGATATTTTGGGTTTTTTAGCTTGACACGTGGAAGGTATTCAGCATGACATGTGGTGGGGTGTTCAGCATGACACGTGGAAGGGTATTCTGGGGTGTTCAGCATAACCAATGGTAGGGTATTCTGGGGTGTTCAGCATGAGACGTGGTAGGGTATTCTGGAGTCTTCAGCTTGACACGTTGGGTAATCTGGGATGTTCAGCATGAAACGTGGTAGGGTAATCCGGGGTGTTCAGCATGACACGTTGGGTAATCTGGGATGTTCAGCTATACACGTGGTAGGGTATTCTGAGGTGTTCAGCATGACATGTGGTAGGGTATTCCGGGTGGTTCAGCATGGCACGTGGAAGTGTATTCAGCATGTCACGCGGTAGGGTGCTTGGTGTGTTCAGCATGACACGTGGTAGGGTATTCTGGGGTGTCCAGCATGACACGTGGTAGGGTATTCCGGGGTGTTCAGCATGACACGTCGAAGGGTATTCAGCATGACACGCGGTAGGGTGCTCGGAGTGTTCAGCATGACACGTGGCAGGGTATTCCGGGGTGTTCAGCATGACACGTCGAAGGGTATTCAGCATGACACGCGGTAGGGTGCTCGGAGTGTTCAGCATGACACGCGGTAGGGTATTCTGGGGTGTTCAGCATGACACGTGGTAGGGTGTTCGAGGTGTTCAGCATGACTCGTTGGGTAATCTGGGATGTTCAGCATGACACGCGGTAGGGTATTCTGGGGTGTTCAGCATGACACGTGGTAGGGTGTTCGAGGTGTTCAGCATGGCACGTGGAAGGGTATTCTGGGGTGTTCAGCGTGACACGTGATAGGGTATTTTGGGGTGTTCAGCATGACACGTGGTAGGGTATTCTGTAATGTTCAGCATGACATGTGGTAGGGATTCTGGGGTGTTCAGCATGACATGTGGTAGGGAATTCTGGGGTGTTCAGCATGACATGTGGTAGGGTATTCTGGGGTGTTCAGTTTGACATTGTGGTAGGGTATTCTGGGGTGTTCAGCATGACATGTGGTAGGGTATTCTGGGGTGTTCAGCATGACATGTGGTAGGGTATTCTGGGATGTTCAGTATGACATGTGGCAGGGTATTCTGTGGTGTTCAGTATGACATGTGGTAGGGTATTCTGGGGTGTTCAGCATGACATGTGGTAGGGTATTCTGTGGTGTTCAGTATGACACATGGAAGGGTATTCTGGGGTATTCAGCATGACACGTGGTAGGGTATTCTGTGGTGTTCAGCATGACATGTGGTAGGGTATTCTGGGGTGTTCAGCATGACATGTGGTAGGGTATTCTGGGGTGTTCTGCATGACACGTGGCTGACAGCGGAGCCTTATACACTCAAGGGGCGCAACTCTGTACTCATTGTGGCGCCTAGACAACTGTGCCACCGGTGCCCTCTCTTGTGGTATTACGGAGCTCTACTCCTTATCAATAAATGCTGCTTCAAAACACCCATAAAATTCTCTACAATTGAATAACTCCCCATTATAATCTAAATGAAGCGTTCTGGACATTCAGCTGAAAACATATTCGTCAGAAGGGCCGAAAACCGAAACCCTGTATAATTAAGCATGGCAGGGACACCCAACGCCATGTTGTGTTATAATATGCATGTACTTGCTTACCTTCAGCCATTGCTGGCTTGGGCTCCATGTTTTGGGGGCTTCCTGACGTAAAGGCGTTTATTGATTTCCCTTATCCTATAGACACTGTAGATATTAGTCTGGGAAATCTATATCACCAGCAGGAACAGAAGCCCGCGGCTCAATGCATCCCGCCAATAGTTCTTCAATAATCAGTTGACACTAGAACAGTGCACGGGGCTTACGGGCGTTCTTTAAAATGTCCCGTGGATCCTTGATATGTGTTGATGAAATCTTTAAATTCCGGTGGACATTTAAATCCGAATAGTTGAAACCACAATATTCACCACTTTTCTTCTAACGTATATGGGTTGACCTGAATTGCCACACACACCCCTGTCGTCACAAGTACTAATATCATGCCCTGGCCACAGTCTGACCACTGAACATCACCCGAATATTCACTATTACACAGCCCTGTGTCGAGTATTCACTGTTACAACCATAGCGAACCTGGCACAAATTATGCAACGATTCACTGGAGCATGAGATCCATTTCGTCTTCTTCACCTGTCGTTTCCAAAACAAATCCCAGCGAGTCAAATGTCCGACTCCCAGTCAATTCACTTAAAAGACGGAGGTTTCCTTCATAGAAGTGTATACATTCAGGTGGTGTTGTAACTATGTTGCGCCAAAAATGAAACGTTAACCCTTAACACACAACCGTACTAACTACATACACCATAAGCTGGGTATTACAGTTACCATTAAGTGAAAGGGTTACTGCATGCATACTAGCCAGACATGTACGTCATCAAGTCTTGGTGCTACGATCTCTTTTCAGAAAAATACAGGTAAAGAACCTTCACGAACCCGATGAAGTTTCCCCAGACCATAATGGTCGTCTTCATTGTCCAACGTCTGTGAATTATATGTCTTTAATCACATCCATTGTCTTCGTGAAAAGAAACTTGAACAGAATATTCTTAACTGCGCTTAGAGAAAGCCATTAAACCATTGCTATATTGTCCTTACGGTTTTAAATGCTCTCATAATATGCCCGTATATCTTCAGTAGACAGATAGCATTCACATTGATGCATTAATCTCTTTGTATGCAGGAACCACGATGACAAAGCTCCTTTGGTCACAAGTTTGTTGTTGGGAGGGGAGCTTCAGCTTATTATCAAAGATCCTGCTCGACTTCACCTTAGGGTGAGCCAGGACTGAAAGCGTTACGACACTAACGCCTAGTGTCACCTCGGGCGGGGATTGGAGGTTGGTGTATCACAGAGCAATGGGTTTGTAATGCTGGCTTGAAAGGAAGCCAAATGTAGGATCAGGCAAGGGGCCATGGCTTTCAAGCATGAAGTCGGCGAATCGAACATATGGAATACTGTAAGGGACATTCACGCGATCTCGCATGCTCGCGATCTCGACCTTTGGAAACGAGCTAAATATGCCCCAAACACGAGAATTTGATATCGCGGGAAGGCGACATTTTGGCCAAATCTCGAATCTCGTATTCTCGTGTGTTGGGCATATTTAGCTCGTTTCCAAAGGTCGAGACCGCGAGCATGCGAGATCGCGAGAATGTCCCTTACAGTATTCCATACGAACGTGCTATTCAGGACGTGGTGAAGTTACACGCGGGCACCGTGGCTGGTGACGCACGAGGCGTGTGAGGGGTCATTGAACGGCATTGTTGGTTGACGGGTATTCAGGTAAAGGATATTGATATCTTTGTAAGAATGGGTACATGTAGTTGACGGTGCTACCGAGGAATGGATGAAAAATGTGGAATAATGAGTATTCTAGGTAGGAGGGAAATTAATTGTTGAAGGTTTCAACAGTGTGATAAAAGAGAATTCCGGGTGGTCCTTGTGGGCTATCAACCACTAGTTCCTTATTACATGTCATACCGCATCAATGACTTGTGGCACATACAAAAATACCATGTCATACTACATAAATGTCTTCTGGCACATACAAGAATACCATGTCATACAACATCAATGACTTGTGGCACATGCATACATCAAGAATACCATGTCATACCACATCAATGAATTGTAGCACATACAAGCATACCATGTCATACAACATCAATGACTTGTGGCACTTAGAAGAATACCATGTCATACCACATAAATGACTTGTGGCACATACAAGAATACCATGTCATACAACATCAATGACTTGGGGCACTTAGAAGAATACCATGTCATACTACATCAATGACTTGTGGCACATGAATGTATCAAGAATACCATGTCATACCACATCAATGACTTGTGGCACTTAGAAGAATACCATGTCATACCACATCAATGACTTGTGGCACTTACAAGAATACCATGTCATACTACATCAATGACTTGTGGCACATACAAGAATACCATGTCATACCACATCAATGACTTGTGGCACATGCATGCATCGAGAATACCATGTCATACTACATCAATGACTTGTGGCACTAAGAAAAATTACCGTGTCATACCACATCAATAACTTGTGGCACATCGAAGAATACCATGTCATACTACATCAATGACTTGTGGCACATACAAGAATACCCTGTCATACTACATCAATGACTTGTGGCACATCGAAGAATACCATGTCATACTTCATCAATGACTTGTGGCACTTAGAAGAATACCATGTCATACCACATCAATGACTTGTGGCACATGCATGCATCAAGAATACCATGTCATACTACATCAATGACTTGTGGCACATACAAGAATACCATGTCATACTACATCAATGACTTGTGGCACATACAAGAATACCATGTCATACAACATCAATGAATTGTGGCACATCGAAGAATACCATGTCATACTACATCAATGACTTGTGGCACTTAGAAGAATACCATGTCATACCACATCAATGACTTGTGGCACATGCATGCATCAAGAATACCATGTCATACTACATCAATGAATTGTGGCACTTAAAAGAATACCATGTCATACAACATCAATGAATTGTGGCACATCGAAGAATACCATGTCATACTACATCAATGACTTGTGGCACTTAGAAGAATACCATGTCATACCACATCAATGACTTGTGGCACATGCATGCATCAAGAATACCATGTCATGCTACATCAATGACTTGTGGCACATACAAGAATACCATGTCATACCACATCAATGACTTGTGGCACATCGAAGAATACCATGTCATACTACATCAATGACTTGTGGCACTTAGAAGAATACCATGTCATACCACATCAATGACTTGTGGCACATGCATGCATCAAGAATACCATGTCATACTACATCAATGACTTGTGGCACTTAAAAGAATACCATGTCATACCACATCAATGACTTGTGGCACATGCATGCATCGAGAATACCATGTCATACTACATCAGTGATTTGTGGCACATACAAGAATACCATGTCATACTACATCAATGACTTGTGGCACATCGAAGAATACCATGTCATACTACATCAATGAATTGTGGCACATACAAGAATACCATGTCATACTACATCAATGACTTGTGGCACATACAAGAATACCATGTCATACAACATTAATGACATGTGGCACATCGAGGAATACCATGTCATACTACATCAATGACTTGTGGCACATACAAGAATACCATGTCATACAACATCAATAACTTGTGGCACATCGAAGAATACCATGTCATACTACATCAATGACTTGTGGCACTTAGAAGAATACCATGTCATACCACATCAATGACTTGTGGCACATGCATGCATCAAGAATACCATGTCATACTACATCAATGACTTGTGGCACTTAAAAGAATACCATGTCATACCACATCAATGACTTGTGGCACATGCATGCATCAAGAACACCATGTCATACTACATCAATGACTTGTGGCACATACAAGAATACCATGTCATACCACATAAATCGTTTGTGGTACAAACAAGAATACCATGTCATACAACATCAATGACTTGTGGCACTTAGAAGAATACCATGTCATACCACATCAATGATATGTCAGTGGCCCCCAGCTCTGGCTCTGTAAAAGGCGACTACGTAAAGGCCTTGTTGTCATTGCCTGTGACTTGGTTGATTGTGTGTCATCGTGACCCGATGGCGTTGGACTTTGCTCATAATATCAATCACTGGATTGTCTTCCAGATTCGATTATTTACAGGCTGCCGCCATGAAGCGGCGTTAAACAACAACCAAACACACATGACCTTTGAAACACGCAAGTTTTTTACCTCTATTTCCCATTGACACTTTGCTCGTGTAAATTCCCACCTCGTTCCTTTCTTGAAATGAAGATCCGCATCTAGTTCATATCCAACTCAAAAGACACATCTAGCCTGTCTAGCCGTACGCTTGTCTGGCTCGCTGTAGCGTCGTTGTACGTCAACATAAACCTTAATCCACCTTCGTGTGAAAAATGAGATTAAGCGATAATCCGTCGGCGGTATGCTACGTAATCAGTATAGGTGTGTGTGTAACTATGTACCAGAAACGACATTAACACCAGCTCATCAAACGCAGAATCGCTGTTTTGTTTTTACTGATAACAAAGTAAAGTTTGCGAGTGAGTGAGTTGTGTTTTACGCCGTGTGAGACATTATTTCAGTATATATCACGGCGTTTCAGCTGAATGAAAGACCGTAGTGATGCAATTGTAGGCGTTTAACATTCTTGAAAGCCACGAGCTCGGGTATAATGTCAACAAACCAAGGACCATAATCCGCGTGCGCCTAAGGGACGTAACTCTGCAGAACGAATTGCGGTGTCCTCGACGAGTGCGACATTCTGTATCTTCAAGGTTATGAAGAAGTAAGTTAAGATTGTATTGTATCAATTATAAACACGGGCCATGATATTGGAAGACATGCTCAGAGTGTGAAAAAAAACTCTAAAGAACAGAGTGTCTAAGTGGGGTATCAATGTTAAACTGACCGCCTCCGTGGTCTAGTGGTAGAGCGTCCGCCCGGAGAGCGGAAGGTCCGGGGTTCGATCCCGGCCGCGTCATACCAAAAGACGTTAAAATATGGTACTTGTTGTTACCCTGTCTGGCGCTCGGCAATAAGGGGCTAAAACAAGGGCTGGTCGGCTCGGAGTCAGTATACTGTGTCTGAGTGGGGTATTCATGTTGAACTGCGGCATGGTATCTCAGTGAGCTGTACATGCACGTCGCTATATAAGTGCAATAATCTTGGAGGCGACGTTAAACCCCATTTCACCTCACCACCTCAATGTTAAACTGCCCCTTGATATCTTAATGGGTTAGCACTATAAAACTAGCATAAGTCAAGACAGATACAAGACTGGTACACACGCACGTGCATGCACGTCGATATTTGAGTAAACTAAATTTAACGCTACGTTCGACCTACCTAGGAATAGGAATAAATTTAAGGATTTGAAATATGTTTGTTGATAAACACGTACAATGATGGGAATTCATGTTTACTAATAAACACGTTTTCCCTTATACAAATACACATTACACTGACTCCGAGCTGAACAGTCTTGGTTGCCGGGTGCCAGGTAGGGTAACAACAAGTACCATATTTGTTGTATTAAGTGCCCCTCTCCAAAAAAAACCGCCCCTGACCAACGTCCATGTGAATCTGTAAGGGGCGGACCATTTGATTTCTAGAGGGGGGTAATTTTGTGAAAATAAAACAATTCAGCCTCCGCCTGCTTGAAAATAAAATGATCAGCTTAATAAAAAAGGCCATCCTCATCAATACAGAGTATTTCGTGAGCAAAGCCATAATCTTTGACATCAAGACAGTCTGCCTGTAACACTTATCATAAATAATCTTCCATTTCAAGAGGCCATATCACCCAGGTCACTGTGTTGTATCCTTGGACAAGGTTATGGACTCCGCTTGTCTCGCTGTGGTATGACTGAAACCGTTGTTGACTGTGATATGACTGAAACAGTTGTTGACTGTGACGTGAAATACCCATTAAGAATCACGTACCCTTACTTGGAAAAACCGTTGTTGACTGTGATATGACTGAAACAGTGGTTGACTGTGACGTGAAATACCCATTAAGAATCACGTACCCTTACTTGGAGAAATATACAACATATACATATACATAAATAAAAATATTTTATTGCAAGAAGCTAACTGACGAGCTAAGGAAACGCTACCAACCAACATTGATTCTAAAAA